ACAAGGCCTCTGGCCGCACATATCACACCAAGTTCAACCCTCCCAAGGTTCCCGGCAAGGATGACGTAAGTGTGTTTGTGTGTGAGTCTGTGTTTGCTTGCGTGAGCGTGTGTGTGGTCTGTGTGAGTGTGTGTCTGTGTGTGTGTGTGGTCTGTGTGTGAGTGAGTCTGTGTTTGCTTGCTTGTCTGCTGCAGATGAGGCGGTGTTTGATGCGTGTGCTCATGGCTGCTGTGTGATTTCTTTGCTTCAGGTCACGGGCGAGGACCTCTACAAGCGCCCCGATGACAACGCCGAGGTATGGTGCGCGCTGAACTGTGCACAGCGACGTGGGACAGCGACGTGGGGCAGAGACAGAGGCAGAGACAGACAGTCAGATGCGCGCGCACGTACACACCCACCCACCCACACACACACACACACACAGACACCCACACACACACACACACACACACACACACACACACACACACACACACACACACACACACACACACACACACACACACACACACACACACACACACACACAACACACACATGCAAACACCACCCCACCCCCCACCCACACACACACCCCCACCCACACACACACTCACGTCCTTGCGTTGTTGCTTGATAGTCGCTGAAGAAGCGCCTGGCAGCATACCACGAGAAGACGGCCCCTCTTTGCGACTACTACGACAAGAAGGTGCGTGCGTGTATGTGCGTCTGCACACATGCTTTGCTGCTCTAGGCACTCGCGTTCACTCACCCTTGGCTCTGCTGCTGCTGTTTTGTTTGTTCCCACCTGTTGGTCGTGTGTGGTTCAGGGCATCCTGCACCGTATTGAGGCAGACAACGCTCAGGCGACCGTGTGGGCCAAGATCCAGAACATCTTTGACGGCTGTATCAAGAAGTAGACTCGCGTGTGTCACCATCACATCACACACTTGCTTGCAATACCACCATCGCGCATGCATGCTTCCTTGTAACAGTCTTCCTTTTCCCTCCAGTACACTGCCTGGCCGGCCCAAAACCAATAAAAACACATGTGAATCAGCGAACCCACCTTTATGTATGCTGTGCAGTGTTTTGATTACTCTGCGAGCACTATTACCCTATCCTGACTGCAGCAGCGTCAAACGTGCTCAGTGGCATGCAGTCCCCTAACTCTTCCTCCGCTCACACACAATTGCTGTTGCTCAGTTCACGAAATAAGTTTGGGGGGAGGTTTAATGGTGTGGATCCCAGTTCATCAAAGAAGAGGAGCGCGCACACGCCAACAAAGAGAAGAAACGTAGCGCAGCTCACATCATTCTCAGGGCAAAACAGAACACACGCTTAGGGAGGGGGAGAAGACAGTCTAAACATGAAGTGTGCCGTGCCAGTGGACAAGCAGCAAATCACAACATGCTTATACAAGGTCAATCAATCAAGGTTATGGGACAAGTGGTAGAGAGATGGGCAAGACAGGACGAAAGCATGACACAATGAAGATTGTGCATGCGTTGCGTGCAAGTGAGTGTGGAGGTTGGCTCGCTTAACCGCCGAAGCCGTAGAGGGTGCGGCCCTGGCGCTTGAGAGCGTAGACGACGTCGAGGGCGGTGACGGTCTTGCGGCGAGCGTGCTCGGTGTAGGTGACGGCGTCACGGATGACGTTCTCGAGGAAGGTCTTGAGCACAGAGCGGGTCTCCTCGTAGATGAGGCCGGAAATGCGCTTGACACCACCACGGCGAGCGAGACGGCGGATGGCGGGCTTGGTCACACCCTGGATGTTGTCGCGGAGGATCTTGCGATGGCGCTTGGCACCACCCTTTCCGAGGCCCTTGCCGCCCTTGCCACGTCCAGACATGATTTGAGGTAGGTGTTGGTTGGTTGGAAGAAGAGGAGGAGTCTTGCTGGCTTGCTTGGAGTGCTTGGTTGAATGCAGTTGAGAAAATGAATGTCTCTGCTTCAACTGTCGCGCTTGTATCCGCTGCTGTGTGCTGCGCTGTGCTGTGCTGTGCGCTGTGCAGCGCGGACACGAAAGAAAATTCACTAGGACCATTCACCAACGTGTTTGGCGGGCAAAGAGAGAATTTGTTTTGTTTCGCGCCAACGCACAAACAGACACCGTCTACGAAAATTCGCCCTTTCTTTCTTGCATTAAAGGGACAACGCCCGCGCCTCTGCGAAAGCCACACAAACCAAGCAGGGAAAACGGCACTGGCGCCGTTGCACCAAGCACCAAGCACCACCACTTCGACGGATGGTCGGGGTGATTGTGGAGTGTGCCTGCCTGTTCGGTTCATTTTCATCTGCTGCTATCCAATCAAGTCTCAGGACCCTCAACCGCCGCTTCACCCTCCTTCTTCCAACCCCCCAACAACTACAAGCAACCATGTCTGGTCGTGGCAAGTCTGGCAAGGCCTCCACTGGCAAGAGCAAGACCCGTTCCTCCCGCGCCGGTCTGCAGTTCCCCGTTGGCCGTATCCACCGCCATCTCCGCCAGGGCAACTACGCCCAGCGCATCGGTGCCGGC